GTGTGTGTGTGTGTGTGTGTGTGTGTGTGTGTGTGTGTGTGTGTGTGGCCAAATGAAACAGCAGATGGAGCTACAGCATCTCGGACTGAAGCTGAGGTTGTGCATGTCTTACTGTTAAATCCCACTGAAGTCCCTTCAGTACACGTTTAATGAGTCCAGTCTTGTCTGAGACGCCATCCATCATAATGTTATTTCCATACTCAAGGATGAAAAGACTAGTCCTTCCACTTTAAATAGTTCCTCTCATGTCATAGTTTTGTTGTAATTAATGTTCGGCAGATTGATCAAAGCAAAGGCACATGTTTTTTTCAGAGTGATGTAGAAGCGTGGCCTCTTGGATAAGAGCTTGTTGTCTTCGGTGCAGTATGATATGATACTGTTCTGGTGTAACAGTAACAGTGTGGGTAAAATGCTGCGTAGGTGTTGGTGGTGTGGTTATTACTTTGCACATGCTCAAGTAATCCTTCGGCCCCTCAATCCGTCAGACCTCTGGCCGGGCCATGTGCTTCCAGCAGAGCTCTCAGTACCCACAGCGGGCTTTAGCACTGGTCAGGTCAGTCCATTGCTTATATCCGGCCTCGGTTCCTCAGGGACTCGCTGGTTATTAGTGCTGGGCTGACCCTTTGTAGTCTGGCTGCAATGGCACTTAAAACTACTCTCTTTTCTTGTGCTGCACTTTATGAGGGCTTTCACATTCAAGCCACAGAGTGAGCAAAGTAACAAACCGCAGACAGTACTGTAGTCCATTCACAGGAGGGTGTGCAATATGGAAAAAATGAATCAAATCGCTTTTTCAAGCTTATAGGCATTTAACAATTTCAGTGTGATTGTCTCCATTAATGTAAAGGAAACAATAATGTAAAAGAGCATAGCTTGTTCTGCAGCTTTCAGCCACATCTCATCAGCTCCATACACCAATGAAGACCGTGAGATGTGGTTGAAAGCTTTTCAAACGAGTTGGTACGTAGACCTTGAGTTAAGACTACAGATGAAAAATAGCCTCTTGGCTAACTCTGGCTTATTTACAGGAATGTTTTATTAATGTGCACTGTCCCTAACAAATAAACCAATAAATATATAAAAATAAAAAAAATACTATTTACAAAGTCAAAAATGAACTGTTTCAAGTAAAATGTATCTCTTATTACCAAATGTCATTGAAAACAAACCTATTGATAGGAGACATTTAATGTTTTGAAGTAGTAGTCATTTTATTACACCATCAATTGAAACTGTAGTTTGAGGTATTGTGACATTGGATTGCATCATATTGTGATGTGCACATTGTCTAGTTGTTTCATGTCTGAGTTCAAGACTTTATTGGAATATTTCCTGCTCCAGGTGGGCTAGCCATAAAGTCTCAGAAATAGAAAGTGTTCAAAAGACCCTTGAACATAGAGGCTCCCTTTACCTTTACCGTAAACTTGCTACAGTTGTCGTGATCCAGGGATCGAATTCTAATGCCGTCATTATCCAGAGAACAGTCTATTCCCAACTGTTGGGTTCGGTTTGATCAGGCCACTTTTGTGTTGAGTTTGGATAGAACTGATTTCCCGCAGTAAGAGACATGAAGATTGTAGCATCAGAGCTTCTACCCTCCCGCCACCATTGTGTGCTGTGGCTTATCAGCCCAGAGCCAGTTCCAGCTGAATGTGTGCCACCTCTTTTGTGCTGCTGGGCTGTTTCAGTTTGCAGGAGCCTCTCGTTGTGTGCATGCTGGTGTGTGCTAATGCGCCCCTGCTCTCATAATTAAATAACAGCTGATAAAAAGCATTGTGAGTGTTGTAATTGCTCCTCATTATCTGGTAAATGCCCCTGACACACACTTTGGTGCGTGTGTGTGTGTCCAGTCTGAAGTTTATAGCCGCATGTTTGATTATGTTTCTCCACATGCTCATGAAGCATAACCTTAATCATGACACATTTACCTTTAAAATCTACGCATTTACCGCTCAATTCAATAATAGATGGCATAATACTGTGCTAACTAGCCCATTGCATGTAGCTAATTAAAGTCATTGTGCATCCAGTCAAATGAAAGCTGGGGGCTCTCGGACCACCTTAGCTTTAAGAGCCAGTGACCCAGGAGCTCTGAGCTGTCAATCAATGTCAGGAGGTGCCTGCAATGAAACACTGGGAGACCTGACAGCTTCTCTCAGTCTCTGCTCTGTTTCTGGCTCACCAGTAGAACTAGGGAACGACTCTTTAACTGATTACGCTTATGTTTATTGTACATACATGCGATCGACTGCATTTGTTGCAGTATGCATGTCTGGACAGAAAAAGAGTAATATGTTGCTGCCTTTGCTTTTAAGAACGCACACATCCGCATTTTTGGTTAGTTTGTTCTATATTTGATCAAATAAAGGCTGCCCTCCCAAGTGAATAACCCGCTTCACACTCTCAACACCACAGCTCTAGGGATCTATTTAGCCTCTTTCAACTCGTAGCTTTGTGTTCAGACACATTTAGTGTTTGGTTCTGTCTCATCGTTTTCACTGCTTGCTTCCAGCAGCAGCAGGCAGCTGTTTTCTGTGCCCTGCACCTGTCTGTCTAGCTCCAAACAGCACACTGATCAACGTAGTGAACATTGTGAAGCGTTTAGCAGCTAAAGAGCTAGATATTTTTACTCAGGATTTGGTGGAGACCACAACAGAGCTATAAGAGGATGAATTCTTGATCAACATTCATCAAATGTGAGTTTTGAAACCAGACTCCTCATTATTGCTAACGTCTGATGTTTGAAGAGGTAACTCTTTGCTAACATGTTTGCCATGAAGCCTTTGTATCAGCCTGTTCCTGAGTTCCTTTGCTTGGTGGCCAACAAAGTCTATTAATGTAGCTTTAATAATTCAAAATTGAATAAAATCAATTCTCTAATGATGAATTGTCTCATATACCTCTTTTAAAGGGAATTGCTCTACCAATATATTTAAACCAAGCACCATTAGCCATAATCCAGAGCAGTGATTTTCAACCGCTATGCCACAAAGTATGACTCTGAGGGCACTGCACAGTTTCCAAGCGTCACCCCCGAAACGATGCCTTAACTCCGCCTACATGCTGCTCAAATGCTCTGCATGTTTGGAAGCACATACCTGTGAGCAGCTGTTCTCTGTGATGAAGATGAACAAAAACCCACACAGAAGTCGTCTCACTGATGCAGACCTTCACTCGAAATAATGTAACCTACCTAAATATGTATTCTTTTTGCACTTTGTGCAATATCCTTTCTATCCTGTTTATTAAATGGTGACTCTATTTGGCCCTCAACGTAGTCCCTCCCTGGGATTGAGTTTGACGTCCCTGGCATATATGCTGTATTATGCTAAAAGGTGTCATTTTGTAACGTTTTTGGTTGTTGGTGTGCCGCGGGATCTTTTTAATGTAAAAAATGTGCCGCGGCTCAGAAAAGGTTGAAAAACACTGATCTAGAGTGTCCATTAAAGCACTAGGATTATTAAAGACCAGCCCATTCCTCTTCATTCCACTCTTCAGTCTTGGTCGTGTCCCTTTTAAATCTGTGGAGCTTCTGAGGAACATGAAGCCCTAAATACACCTGCTCTTCTTTACTCAACACTTAACTTCACGAAGGTTTTTTGTTTTTTTTTGCTGTAAGAGACACTCGACATAATTTGCTTTACATATTGTCTGAAAAGCTGCAAGGAAAGACTTTCAGATCAACGTTACAAGAACATCAAAATCTGCCAACCTCCCCTGGAGAAATGACACGTCCAAATGGAGCCTCATTTCTCTGAACGACCCCCAACACTTTTGATTGGCCCCTTAGTCCTACCTTGTCTACCAGCACACAGGCCTTTTATTTGTGGTCCCTCCACTGCCCCCGAGCTCCTCAGCCCCATCAGCGTGGCGCGTTGCTCCACATGAATCATCTGTGTCTTGGCAAAG